ATAGTTGTATGCAAGTCTAATTTACAGAGCCAGAAACTGCTCTCTGGGCACTGAACAAGAAGACAGATGGTCAAATGGAAGTAACTGCAGTGCGAGAGAACAAATTCAGGGAGCAACAGTTAATGACATCTGAAGGCCCCTTTGAGTCATAACAATAAAGGAAAGCATGGGAAACAAAATGATATGAAGAGTGCTCGATTTTCTGTAGAAGTCTCTGGCTAATGCCTTAAGTTTATTAAGCTGTAGCAGGCGAAGAGGTTATAAACACACCAAGAAGAGAGACAAGACTGCCTCTATGCAAAGCGGCTCTTCACCAGCAGCACTGCTCACACAATATCCTAGCAACCTGCGACTACGCTTTGATGTCAGCACTGCATCTTGGCCAGAAATAGAACACAGCTCCAGCAGAAGGTACGCTTTCGATTCAAAATGAGAACATCACTTAAGCCCAGTCGAGCAGAACTGAAGACGAGAGGACTGCCGTGTCGAGGGTGACAACTACAGGTTTCATGTTTCAATGAGAGAATCGCATTTTCCCCGCCATGCCGTCGTATAGTTTGAAATATTTAAAAATTGAGAGGTAAACAGCAGTGTGACATTATGAAAGACAAAAAAAAAGCCAGATCACCTTATTTTACCGATGCATATAAACATGGTCTCATAAAAAGCAATAAAGCAGCGAATTTACTGGTTTGTAATTAACTGCATCAGAGGCAGGGGTATTTTAATAAAATTAAAACCCCATTTATTGCTGAAACCAGCTGTATTCCACATGCTAACTATTTCTTTGGGTGTGCCTTTATTACACCATTTCCTGGTTTAATTCTGTTCATCCAATTCAGAAACAGCCGAGTATTTCATGGTATGTTACAGTTCAGAAACAAAGTAACGTCACCCATGTTTCTCCTAAAGTATTCGCCCAAAAGCTAGACCCCTGTTCTCTCGAGTCACCGTTGCACCTGTATAACTCTGACCCTTATTCTGATTTGGTCCTATTCTGCGCCAAGCATGGAACCCTGGAAGTTGAACTCCGAGGCGATGGACTTGAACAGCCTACCTGATGGTAGGACTGGTGTCACTGCTTTTGTAGGAGCCGGAGTTGTTGCTGCTGCTGCTGTTCGAGGACGTGCCAAGAAGCGGCCCCCTGCAGAGGCTGGCGAAGGGGTCTTTGTCTCGGGCGGAGGAGGCTGGGCTAATGGCGGATTTCTGCGATGTCACACTGCTCCTCATGTGAGGCCCACGGCTGTCGCAAGAGACAAAATAAAATATTAAGCCGACGAACATTTCTGCAGTAATGAAGATTTATCACTTTGTTATACAAAAAAAACAACAACAATATCACACATTCTAAAGACTGTGAAAATACAGGAACATCATCATGTGTCAAGACTGCTCCATCAATACAACATCTTATCTGCCCCCCTGCTGTTTAGGCAATAACCCTGGGTGATCTCAAGTACAAACTGACCATGTTGCATAAAAAAATACTATAGTCAGCAACTTAGGTTTGGTTTCAGAACACCTACGTTTGCCAAGAAATGCACAAAAGGCTCTTGCAAAGCCATCG